GCCAGACGAGTCTGGGTTTGGGAGGTAGTTGTGAACCACAGAAAGTAAAATGGTTGAAGGGAGCCAAAAAGAGCCCTAATTGCCAGCTTTCCTGGAAGCTACACGTGGTGGTTGGGTTTTATGTCACTCAGCCAGCCCAGAGTCCGCGGGAGCGTGGCAGTCCCTGTCCCACCGCGGTTACACTCGCCTCGTGTCCATCCGGCCTGTAGCTACCCTTCTCAGAAGCTTTTCTTCGCCCTTTCCCTTTCCGAAGTGTATTTAAGCATTGGTCGAGTGACTGATAACTCTTGCTCTGTTTCTTTGCAAAGGATTCTCTTATTAGCAACTTGCTGCGGCTCATCCAGACCATGCGGCCTCCCACAAAGCCTTCTACCAGTAAAGGTGAGTCGAGCCGCTGCCGAGCTCTGCCTCCAGCTTGGCCTCGACTGAGCATCCGGTCATTGCTTCTGTTGTCCTGGCAGCTCTTGAGCAAGTTAACTTAGGCTTATAGTCTTGTATGTGACTAACACGTGGTAAAATGTCATGGGGTTGTTTGTTTGCTACAAATCTAATGTTGACGTCGTCTTGTGGGCTATGGTATTGAAGAATATTAACTACGTTTTTTCTCCCCCACCCTTCATGCTCTTTAATGAAACAAGATGCAGTGGTTAAACCGAAGACCGAGAAAGAGAAGCTGAAGGAACTCTTCCCAGTCCTCTGCCAGCCAGACAACCCCTCCATCCGGGTACCGACCAGCGCCACCGCTCTGACCGCGCGCTTGCCTGGGCCTTGTTATTAGTTTGTGCTGTTTATTCAGAGTGGAGCATTGGTTTCCTAAGCACGCCTTGAGCATCAGTTAGGTATCAGATACTCTCTTCAAGGGCTCAGGGACTGGTAGTCAAGGGAAAATAAGAATAGGAATTGTGGGAACCAGAAAGTAGGCATATGAAATCGGTATGAAATAACAAAGTTCTGGAGCAGGCGTCTGATGTGTGAAGTTTAATATTTTGCTTCATTACGTGTTCGAGCCGGTTCTGACCCCTAGCAGTCCTCTAAGACAGAGCAGAGCTGCCCCTTGGGTTTCCAGGCAGGGACATTCGACAGCATTGGATCGCCACATCTTTCTCGCTGGGAGCAGCTAGTGGCTTTGAACCACTCAGCAGCTGAGTGCCTAACCACTGGGCCACCAGGGTGCCTTCAGTGCAGGGGAGGAGGTCTGATTTTTCAAGTGTTTTGATTATTTAGTTTGTTTTGGTGAATATGTTTATCAAGTGCTTACTGTATGCCAGCACAAGGAACCCCGTGGCACTGTTGAGTAAGCATTAGACTGCTAACCACAAGGTTGGCGGTTCAAACTCCCCCAGCAGCTCCTCGGGAGAACAATGAGTCTATCTGCTTCCGTAACGCTTTACCGCCTCAGAGTTGACTCTGGCGGCAGGTTTCAGGAACCAGAGAAACCTCAGTACATAAGACGGGCGAGTTCCTGCCCTCCTGAGACTACATTGTAGTGTTGGAGGTAGTATGTGAGTCTACCACTAAATATTGTGGGGCGAATAAAGCCGAGTTGAGGGGGAAGGTGGGGGGGGGGCGGAGTGTGGCTTTAGCACGTTTCTCGCTATCTGTTCTTTTCTGAAGGAGCCCGGTGGTGGTGTTGTCGGACACCCCAGAGTAGGGTCTCTGCGTTAGAGTCGACTCAGCGGCAGTGGGTGGGTGTTCTTTTCACGATCACCACTCGTATGTTCTCATGGGACCCAAAGCCCACGGCCACCAAGTCCCTTCTGCTCCTCGTAACCCCGCAGGACATATTAGAACGGCTTCTTGGGGTTTCTGAGACTGAGTCTCGATGGAGCACACACCTTCATCTCCTCCATCGGAGTGGCTGTGGCTGGTGGGTTCGAACCACCCACCCTGCAGTGAGCAGCCCCGTGCTACCCAGTCGTCTCCGTAGGGTTGTATTCAGGATAAAGGGGATTTACGAAGTGTTGAGGTGGCTTCAGGAGCCTGTGCGTGGTCCCTTTTTGAGCCTGCCGTCCTTTCTCGCTTTCTTGCACTGGTCTGAGATAAAGGACGGCTGGACCGGGAGGCATAGCTGGGGGGTCGTCTCCTGAGTGATGTTTCCCTCTCTTCCCAACACTCCCCTTCCCCGCTGTAGACCATGTTGGACGAGGATGACGTGAAAGTCGCTGTGGACGTCCTGAAGGAGCTGGAAGCCTTGATGCCCAGCGCAGCGGCCCACCAGGCGAAGCAGAGAGAGGCGGGACACCGGTTTGTCCTGGGGGTTCTTTGGGAGTTCAGAAAGGGAACCAGCCAAACAAAATTTGGAGTGGGTTTTTT